ATCCTGTCTTTGGACCCTGGGGCACAGTCCCATTACCTCCACTTCCATGAAAGCTGGCAAATAAGGCAGAGCTGGCTCTGGTGGTGTTAAACCCCTCCTGCGTGTACCCATTGTGTCTCCACTCCACCAGCAACTCTGTGCCATGGGGGCACATGGCTGCCACCTGGCAGAGGAGCCCTGCTTGCCAAAATGTGAGTTTTTGGGGGGCACTTAACAGGGCTGTTGGCACAGGAGTGGGTGCGACCCTTCCTGCCCCATGTCCTGCCTGGTCAATAGTGGATACTGTTGGTCCCACAAGATGCTGTACTTGGTTTTGGGGGAACTACTGCCCTTCTCCAACCCTGTTGTGACTGTGCCATGGCCTTCATTAGGGGATTTCTCATGTCAGGTATGGTTTGGGGTCCTGTGGGATGCTGCTGTGCTGGGTCTCAGCGTGGGCTGGGCTCTTCAGGGGTGCGTGGTGAGGTCTAGAGCATTTTGGGGGTGAAAAGCACCTTGTAGGGTGCCCCATGGGGCTGTTTCCTGGGGGCAGGTGCTGGGGGGAAGGGGGACAGCATATGCCTGTTCTGTGCTTGGTCTGTGTTGCTTCCCTGGGGAGCTCATTCCATGATGGAATTTTGCTGCTCTCTGTATTCAGAGAGCAGCCTGGTGCACTGATTCTCCCTTCAAATGCATGATAAATATATTTTTCCCAGTGCTGTTGGAAATGCAGGAACCCCATCTAGGTCTCCTCCTCTCCCTCATATGTCCCAGGGGTGAGGGCTTGCTCCTACATTCCTTGCATCTCTCCTTGGAGCAGCTTACTGAGGTGGGAAGGGCTCAGTGGGAAAACTGAGGGTGAATAGAGCAAAAAACTACTACAGCAGAAGGTAACAGGCTCCATCGTAGAACTAGGAGCAGCTGCATCCTGAGAGGGCTCTGTGACTGGTCAGGGAACGTGGGCTATGCTCCATTCCTCCTTCCAGCACAGAGCATCCACGGTCCTTCCTGTTCCCCCTGGGATGAGCAGGGTGGGATGAGATGGGGGCTGGCAGGGCTTGTTCCCATGAGCTCCTCAGGCTGGTCCAGCCCTGCTCCTGTCAGGAGATATGGGATGCACATGCAGTGCTCTGGCTGTGTAAAACAAGTGTGGGGTGGTCCCAGGAGCATCTCCAGATGGAGCTTCTTTGGGTTCTGCTTCACAGGCAGTGGCATCTGAGGGGTATGTGCAGGGGTGTTTAGTGCTCGGGACCTGGGTGATAGGATGATCCACCTCCGTGCCCTCCTGTGCTCCTGGAGACTTGGATGAGGTGCTCCTGGTGATGCCTTATGTCTCACAGCCTTCTTCTTTGTGGGGAGATATGTTTTGAGTAAGGAATCCTGTAAATAGGCTACAGGGAGAACTTAAAGCCTCTTCCACTGCTTAAAGGGGCTCCAAGAGAACTGGAGAGGGACTTGGGGCAAGGGCCTGCAGGGACAGGATGAGGGGGAATGGCTTCCCACTGCCAGAGGACAGGGATAGATGGGATATTGGGAAGAAATTCTTCCCTGTGAGGGTGGTGAGGCCCTGGCACAGGTTGCCCAGAGAAGCTGTGGCTGCCCCATCCTTGGAAGCGTTCAAGGCCAGGTTGGATGGGGCTTGGAGCAACCTGGGATAGTGGAAGGTGTCCCTGCCCATGGCTCCTATAAACTCGGTTTTATAGGAAAAGAAGCAAATGGCTGACTTTTTCTGGAAAGCCTATTTTGCAGGTGAGGGGGGAGCAGTCCTCAATACTGTGGTGATGGGAGCTCTCAGTAAGGAGGGACTGGGGGTCTGTCCCCAGCATTCCCACCAGGAGCAGACAAAGGATGAGCTTATTCTTAATAAAGGTTTAATTACGGGTTAGCGAAAGGGTTGTGGGGCCATGTATGGGGAGATGTAAACAACCCCCTGGCTGTCCTTAATGCCAGGGGATTTGCCAAGGCCAGATCCTGGGTGAGGATGAGGCTGGAGGATTGGGGTTTTATTTAGCAAATCCCCCTCCACGCTGCTCGCCCGCCCCGGGGCCACCGTGTCCCTGCGGCCGGGGGCCAAGCCGGGCTCCTCCGCTCCGCTGTCACAGGGACCTCCAGCATGACTGTGCTGGGATATGAGTAATGCACTCCGGTGACTCATTTGCTGCCTCTTTATTTTTTATTTTTTTTTAATCTTAAGGCCCTTGGCTTCATCTGTTGCTGTTTGCTGGCAGTTTCCTGACGTGTCTCCTTCAGGAGCTGCCCGAGATTTCCAGTGTTTTTGCTGAGAATTGTCCTTGTGTCAGTTAGAAGGGTTGGAAATAATTTGGAAATCTGTAAATATCAGTTTTACCTTGAGCAGAGAGGGGCTTGCTGGCACACTGCCCTCCCTGGGGACATGGGTGTGCTCTGCCAGGCACCTGGCTGTCCCTGTGCCACCTGCCTTTGGGAAGAGCCCGTACTAGGAGCAGGTTTGTGGTGTCCTTAGTTTGGGGTTAATTTTGCCCTGAGGAAGGTGAGTTTCGGTCTTGCCACATGACAGGAAGGCTTTCATAAGGCCAAGAACATCCTGCAGAGCCAAGGAAAGCTGGAGCTGCACTGGGATGAGCAGTAGCCGAGGGATCTCAGCTGTGCTCAGGCAGCAGGTGCCAGTGGCAAACCTGCCCAAACCCAGCACTGAGTGGGGCAGTTTGGTCAAAAAACTTATTGACCCATTGCCCAGCCTGGGAGGGCATTTGTAGGGGGGTATCATGGTTCTTCTTACTTGGTTAAGGAATATCAGCCCTGTGGAGCATCACAGGAGCTGTGGAGCTGTGGGTCTGTCTTAGCTGGCAGTGGAGCCACTGGGATGTGGGATCATAGAATTCCAGATTGGTTTGGGCTGGAAGAGACCTTAAAGCTTCTCTTTTTCCACCCTCTGCCATGGGCAGGAACACCTTCCACTATTCCAGGTTGCTCCAAGCCCCATCCAACCTGGCCTTGGACACTTCCAGAGATGGGGATACAGGGACTGTGCCCTGCTGTGTAGCAGCTGTATGAAGTTTTGGAAGATAAGTTAGTGTGTCCAGGAGGGGGTTGGACACTGCAGGTGTGTGCTCATCACTGGGGCATCCTGCCATGTGTGCCAGCCTGGCTCCCTGGGGAGTTCTGGGGTTGGGCTCAAGGAACAGCAGGGTGACATTCAGTGCTTTTTGCTTACCCTGGGATTACAACCGGAATTCCTAAAAGCACTGGGCACCCTTCCCTGTGCTGGAAGCACAGGCAGTGCAGGCAGGTCACAGGAGCTCCTTGTGTGGATTAAGGAACCATCTGTTAAATAATCCCATCCCTTTTCCGGGTGCTGTGGCATTTCTCACCAGCTGGGGTGGGTGAGGGCTGTGCTGGAGACACTCGATCTGGAGACCCTGTTGTGATGCTGAAGCACATCTCCTCACTGGTGTATCCACACCCTTGGAGTTGCTTGGCTTTTAGATTAATTTTTAAAGGTGGAAAAATATTTAGGGTTTTTTTAATTGCAGAAAAATGTGGGGGGGTGGTGGGGGGGGAACTGATGTTGTTTTGTGTTTTGTTTTTGTTTTTTGTTTTTTTTTTTTTTAATGGAGAAAAAAACCATTGTTTTTTGTTTTAATGGGGAAAATTATGTGAGTGTTGCTCTCCCTGCTTGTGAGTGAAGTCGTGAGAAACACATGTGGCTGACTGGGATGATCCTAAAGATGCTGATGCGCAGTGAGAGGCAGAAGTGAAGTTTCCATTACTGATACAAGGTCACGTTGAAAAGCCACATTTGAGTGCGCTGAAACTGGCTGGTTGTCCCTAAAACGCCACTGTTGTGCCCAGCAGGCAGCAGAGAGGGGGAGGCAGCTCATCCATCAGGCAGGTTGGTGTTGATGGTCCTAATCCCGGTTTTTGCCGGGCGCCAGAATGCGGTAGTGCCCTCGGAGAGAGATCCTGGTTGTCCCCTGGGATGAGGCTTTCCCTGCTGTCCCTTGCAGCAGTGGGTGCTGTTTGGGATAAGGATGCCAAAGATGCACCTTCTGCTCCTGCAGCCAGGAGTGGGAACTGCTTCAGGACAAGAGTGAGTTTTACAGTATCTTTCCTGCCAGCAAAAAACCCAAACAAAACCACAAAAACAATAACAAAAAAAAATCCAAAAAACAAAACAAACAAATAAGAAAAAACTCAAAAAAACCAATCAAACAAAAAAAGCTTGGACTCTTGGAGTTGGTTAAAAGATCTTGCATTTCCTTGGATAATCCCGGTAGTGTCCCAATAACTCCTACATTGGCATTGCCCGTGCCTCCAGCCGGGCTCCCCCTGCTCCTGCAGCAGCTCTGAGAACTGTTTTGAAGGTGGCGAGGGTCGCACACCCCGTCGGGGCTGGCAGGGGCTCGGGGAGGCTGGATGCTGTGGCTGGCAGAGAAATGGGGTGACAGGGTGGTGCTGGGTGGCATCTCTTTGGGCATCGGCTGATGAGGGGACATGGAGGGTCCCCAGGCAGAGCCTGGCTCGGTTCTTGCAGCCCCCCCCGCTCCCTCCCCAGCCGCTTTTGTTCCCCGCTCCGGAGATGCTTAGGCTTCTCTTCATGCGAAATTAATTCCCGGGCGCTGTTAGGAGGCAGTCGGGGAGAAATTTCTTCCCGCATCATCCTTTCGGGGCTAATTGCTGGCGATGTGACGTCAGCCGATGGATTTCTCCCTTGAATGGCTGCGGGAGAGACGAGGAGGGCCCAGCATCCGCGCTCACAGCCCTTGTGCCGGAGCGAGCTCCGCTGCCTTATCCAGCCGGGATTGATTTATTCTCCCCCTATTCCCAGCCGGGCTCCCCGCACGCTCCTAATCTGACAGCGCCCGGTAATTAATCTGGCTCCCCCGGCCGCTGCAATAGGATTAAGGGAGGGGAAGTGCGTCACGAGGTAGGAGAGGGGTTATGCTTTTGGTGAAAGTGGGGGGGAAAAATATGGGAAATAGGTTGGTGTGTTCCCGGGGGGTGTGTCGGGAGCGAGCGCGCATGTGAGGAGGTGCGGGGCGGGAGGCATCGGCTGCGCCGGAGCCGAGCCCGGCTCGTCCTCCCTTTCTCTCAGCATCCTCCGTGATGCGATCCTGGAGGTGATACAGGCACAGCAGCATCCATGGCCTGCCCTTAGCGCCAGCGTTCCTGCTTTATCCTCCGTGATATTCTGGCAGCGAACCGAGCCCGGCGTCGGAGGCGTTTGGTTGGCGAAGGGCTGACGTTGAGTGGCTGGTAACCGGGATCGTATTCTCCTGTATTTTTTCAGGCTCCTTGGAAATTGAGGAATGCAATTCTGCCACCATGATGGAAGGTAGGTGATGAGTTGAGCGTGTCTTTCGGGATGGCTGGAGTTTGTGAAGCCACGGTGGAGGATGCACTGAACCTGTGTATGGAGATCCTTTCTCTTTCCTAAATAAAATAATAATAATAATAATAAAAATTAAATCCTCCCCTCCCCCTAATCCCAGCCCAGCCAGAGCTCCCTGCCTGCTGCCGGGGAGCTGGCGGATGGTGATATAATATCAAGCCCATCAGATTATTTGCAATTCCATCCCCAGCCCTGTGTAGGCAGCTCAGGGTGTGCAAACACTCAGTTATCCATGGACCTGCTGGTTCCTCCAGAGCCCAGATCAGGGTGGGTTGGCCGGAATTGGGGATCCTGTAAGGATTATTTTATCCTCTGCCTGGAAACCCTGGTTCTCAGCCTGATGTGATGCACAGAGGATGAATTTGGGTGTTTTCAGACCTGGGCTGTGCATCCTGATGGAGTTTGGTGTTTTTAGCTGGATGGAGGAGCATCATTTCAGTAGGAAACAAGGAAATTGGAAGTTAAAGTGATTTTTGCAATGTCGTGGCACTGGTTTGGAGATGCAGGCTCTGGGGAAGGGGGGTGGGTATTGGGTTGAGGCTTATTGGAATAAAAAAGGAAATGTGAAGGAAATATGGGCTCAGGCACAAGATGCTTCAGGGAGCGTTGGGAGACTGTGTCTGATCCTGTGTGGGAAAAGCCTCTGGGCATTACAGGAATTTTATCCAATGCCGTCTGTCTCGACCGTATGTAAAGCTCTTTTTTTTTATCATTTATTTTTTTAATGCCTTCTGGAGTAAAATGCAGGAAGGGATTACTTTAATTGCATTTTTTTTTAGCAGAATAGATACTTCAGGGCCAAGGAGATCAGAATATCTATATTTTTTTGGTTTTATGGCCCGTTGGTGGCAGCAGCAGGGCCTGTCTCGGCAGAACCACATCCAACCTCGGGCTTGCGGCGCTGCCAGCACATGAACCAGGCAGCTCCCGGCCTTCCCGAGATGACAGGCAGAAATCGGGCTGCCTCTTGGTGTGTCCCTGGAAATCAGGGTCTGCTGCCCTGCTCGAATTAACCTGGAAAGGCGTCAGGCTTCACGAAACCAGGACTTATTGTATTGGTTTAAAATATTCACCTAATCTTGGGAATTCAGGTGTAGTCATGGCCATGTGTGGACACACAGGAATGGCTTCTCCCTGGGTGTTTTTTTTTGTCTTAAGAAAATGAGTTTGGTTGTCCTTTGATATGAGGAAGTGCCTTCAGTGTCTTCTCTAATACTGATTAGCAAAAGAGATTTTAATTTTAGCCCATGATATCAAACTCATCCTACCGTGCCGACAGACACGGCACGTTGGGAACCAGGCACAGCCTGGGCAAGAACAGGGTATTGTAGAGAATATGTCATTAACAACGTGGCTTCTCTCAAAAATTCCTGTATTTATGAAGGAATTAATGCAGATAAATTGAAATTGGTCTGTTATAACCTTGTTTTGGGTTATTTAATTAGTTCTGAGGCTGGTTGGGGGAAGTCACTTGGTCTTTTTAGGTTCTTTTGGGATTTGGGTGTTTTGTTTTGGGGTGGGGTTTTTTGTTGTCTTTTTTTTTTGTTTGTTTGTTTGTTTTATTTTTATTCCTTGAGGATTTTTGCCTTGCTTATGGAATGCTCACAATGTGCTGCTGTGCAGGAGCTTTGGCCACCGTAGCTGAGGCAGGTGGGGGCTGGCAGGAGGTGCCCAGCCCCATAGTGGAAGTGGCATCCAGCTTGTTGTGCTCTGGCAGAGGTGGAATCACCTTTCATGAACCAGTCTTGCACTTGGAAAAAAAAAAATTACTAGTCATAAAAACTGACTTATTAAACTGCTTGAGATGTTGTTCCTCAACTACTTGATGCGGGAACCTAGAATGGAAATGAGAAAATTAGAAGAAATGATTACTGCTTTTGATGAGTTTTAAATGGTTGGAAGCTGGTTGTATTTGTGGAAGAGTGGAACTTCTATCCAAGATCCTACTGAACCAATGCACTTCCCAGAGGTGATTTCTTTTAATATAAGAATGGTTTTAACATGCTCAGTTTAATTTGATCTGAAACTTTTAAACCCATACAAAATGCTGGGAGTTCCCTATAGTAAATATCTTAAAGGGGTTTTATCATTATAATGAATTATTTAAATGACTTGTCTGGCCAAAATGTTGGACACTGTGCTGGAAGTGCAGGGTGGAGCTAGACTGTGATAGTGCAGGGTGTGAAGCCACCCAGCATCACCCAGGGCCAGCAGGATGAACCTGGCTCAGCTGATGGTTTTGGATCCTCTTCTTTGGCAAGAAGGTGATTTGGCTCATTGGGAATGGTGCAGAATGAGCAATTTTTACTGGATATGGTCCTTATACTCATTTATATGGAATATTTCTTTATTCTCTTGGTAGATGGGGGGAAAGAGTATGTTTTTCACTTTATGATTAAAAATCACAACGATACCTAAAATAACTGTGGATGCTGTTTTAAGAACCCAGTCCTTGCTGGGAGGAAACCAAACCTGTGCTGTGTGGTGTCTGAGCCACCAGAAGAGGATGGTCCTCCCCCTCCATGTCACGGGGGTGAATGAGTGTTGCCGTTGCCCACCATCTGCACTGGGGATGGACTTTCTGTGCTCGGCCTTGCCTGAACACATGGAAAGAAGGTTTTGGGCATGGGGATTAAACCCCATCATGTGCTGGGAGAGGCCCCTGCATGTGTGGCTGTAGATGTGAGAGGTGTTTAGATGTTCCCTTTGATTAAAAAACAACTCTCCAGTCCTCGGAAATGCGCTGGGTGTGTCATCGAGGTGAACAGCCGAGCACAAGAACAAGTTTGTCTCCTTTTTTAATCCCTCTGTTGCTTCTCCAGTGTACTGAAGGCATTTACACAGCTTAATTAAGTTTTGAAATCACTGCTGCACCATGTCACTCGAGCCAGAAGCTCCACAATGTGTGGAGAAATTAGACAATGACGTGGCAAATGGGAGCAGCCAAGGGTATTTTGGAGAGGGTGGTTTCTTCTTCCATGGGAGATGGTCCCTGTGTTTTTCCAGACCCCAAATCAGATCTTTGCTGGGGAGAAGCCTTCTCAGAGTGGGAATTTCTCTGTAACTCTCTTCTTCAGGCTTTTTGCACCTCTTTCTGGGAAGTTTGGTCACTCAGGATGTCCCATCCCTGGAAGTGTCCAAGGCCAGGTTGGACAGGGCTTGGAGCAACCTGGGATAGTGGAAGGTGTCCCTGCCCATGGCAGGAGGTGGAATAAGATGAGCTTTAAGGTCCTTCCCAACCTAAACCATTCTGGGGTTCTATGACTGGTCACATCCAAAATGATAAAAACCTTCTTGAATCATCTTTTAGCACCGATTGTCTCCAGCCTTTTATTTTCATTGTGCTGAACAGATAGAATTGGGACCAGAGGCGTCTAATGTCACATTAAAAAGTCTTTTTCTTGATTAGGCAAGAAAATTGACTTTATTATATTTTAGGTGATCTTGTTTCAGTAAATGGTGTATTTGAATGTGCTCAGTGTTGTCTGTGGGACTCAGTAAGGAAATGACCTGGTAGAACAATTTGGTTTTTGAGAATGCCTCAAACCTTCTGCTGGCTGTGAACAAAAATTCAGGCATGGTTGACAAAATCACCCTGGAAAATACATGGAACCCATAAACACTAAATTAGGACCTGTATTTTTCAACAGGCTTTTTGAGCAGAAACCCATGACTGAGCTTGAGCTTGCAAAGAAAGTCAGGGCTGTGGTGTGGTTGGGCATCTCCATCTCTGTTCTCTGAGGTGGAAGGGGGATCTGCTGGAACCTTCTGCTGAACTAACAGGCCTGGCATTGGTGAGGAAAGTAGTTTTTTGTGGATGCAGGAGATTTTTTTGACCCTTCTGTCATGCCCAGCAAAGGGTGATGCTGAGTCTAAGCCAGTGGCTTAGCTCCCCTTGTAGCCCAAAGTGGGCAAAGGGATGACATCCCACCACTTCTGAAGTTCAAAGATGTGCACGAAGCCTTTTGGGATGTGTTTGAAGGGCTGACGCAGGGGGTGTTGAGTTCCCAAGGATGAGATATGTGGAAATGGGGGCTTGGGAAGTAAAAAGTTGGAACAGGAAGGAGAGGGAGCTCTGAAGCTCTTGGTTTTGAGGGTTCAGTAGCAGGACATAGGGCCAGTGTGTCCAGCCCAGAGCTGCTCAGGGGATGGTGATGTGCTCCCACACTGCGTTGTGGTGCTCCCAGAGATGTCTTGTGCACTCTGGGGTAGGCCTGGACCAGAAGAGCATCCCAATCAACACAGGTTGAATTTGTTCATCAACCTCTATTTAACTGGGGGAAAGAAACCCAAATAATTCCTTTTTTCAAGCATTCAAACCCTTCCCACTGAGCTGGTTTGGGTTTTTCAGCTCTAGTCCACTGGCAGTATGTCCCTTCCTGCTAAGGGAGAGGAGGGAGCAATGGCTGCCACTCAAAATTCACAAAGGCCCCACCCAAACCCTCTGAATTTGGAAAATGTTTTGTACTGGGGCTGGTGGTACTTGCCAGTTAAAACCCGGATGGTGCCAACATGGTGGTGTTGAGAGTTTAAACCAAAACATGGGCAAGGTGGCAAAACCTGAGGTTTCCCTTGCACCTGAAATGTTCAGTGGAATGGAGGGGTGGAAGCAAAATGCCAACAGTTTTATTTTGAGCAGAAAGGATAGAAAATATGGGAAAACTCAACTGCTTCATGTGATACAGGTCTGCAAAACTCCTCCTTGAAGTGAGCCCCAGTTTAAAATGTGCCCTTGGGCATCTCGAACTGCTGCCCAAACATAGTAATTTGGGTTTCTCTGCCAAGGCAGAAACTTTCTGCATGATTCATTGGCCTTACTCAGATTTTAAAGACATTGTAGAAAAAAAACACAGGTTAAATCAGGTGTTTAGTCACCTTGAACCTCCATTCCAGGGTATTCTGTTAAAGGTGGAAAAACATGGTTGGTGGACCCCGACCCACCA